CGCGACGAGGTGTACGCCCGCGACCTCACGGACGAGCTGTTCGTGCAGGGCCTGACCGAGTTCCGCGGCTTCCTACTGGAGCGGCTGCTGACCGGCCCGCGGGAGGAGGAGGCCCGCGCGCGGCTGGCGGCCGACGTGGCGCTGCGGGACCAGCGCAACGCCGAGGCCGTGGCGGCCCTGCGCGCGGATCTGGCCGCAGCCCTCCAGAGCCGCGACGAGGAGGTGCGGGGCCGGCTCGGGCTCGGGCAGAGGAGTGGACCTCCCTCCCTTTGGCCCCGGGTAAACGGCCCCCCAGGAGCAACAGAGCTCCCCGCAGAGCATGTCTGGGAGGCCTCCACCATCCCAGGGTGCTTTGCTTCCCACCCCGGGAGCACTTCGGGCTGGACGATAAACGGAGCAGCTTAGAGGCTGCTGTCCCAGGGCCCTAGACGCCCACTTGCTGCAGACTTGCTGCTTGACTTGGGCCAGCCTCTGTTAAGGGACTGATGTTCAGTTTCTCCAGGGAGAGTCTCTGTTCTCTACCAGGAGAAACTGGGAGCGTACACAAGTTTGTAACTTTTTTGGGTTTTTTTTTTTCCAAGAGTCAAAGTGGCTGCTCGGGGAGAGGAATAACTTGGGGACAACCTGGGTGACATGGCTCCCAGGAGACAACACTTCTTTACGGGTAGCCAGTGTGCTTTGCTGCTTTTCCCTCCCCCTCCCAACCAAGCAGGGAGCAGAACATGCCCCCTGAGTGCTTTAGGCTGGACAAGCCCAGTGCTGAAGCACTTGAGAGGTGTGTTTTGCTCCTGGCTTGTTCCCTGCCTGAATTGCACTGCAGCACTTGAATTCAGGCAAGCATAGAAACATATTTTCTTGGGTAGGGGGAGGGTGGCAGGAGAAGCTGAAGGACTCTTCTATGCAGGGCATAAAGTCCCTGCCCCTACTGATCCCTGCCTGCCTTCACTTGAGGAAAAAAGCCTGCAAAGTTCTCTCCTGGACTGAGTGCTCTAGGGCCCCCTGGCTGCCAGCATCATCACTGCAAGCTTTTTGTTTCTCTGAAAGTCTGTACAGGTCATTTTTTTCCAATCAGGAAAACGAACCTGGGAGAACTGGCAAGCAGCACACTGGGGCACTGCCAGGAAACTGGTTAACCACAAAGCTAATCCACCCATTGCCTCTCATAAAGGGGAGGTTGCTGGAGCTTACAAGGCCCCTGGTACATGTTATATAATATAATTTCCTGCTGAATCACACAAAAAATGTAGACCATCCACACGTGAACTAGGGGTCACGAAATGAAATGAGTGGGTAGTAAGTTGAAAATAAACAAAAGGAAGTTCTTTGTCACCTAGTGGCCATATATATACACATGTGCATTTAATGCACAGTATATAAGGCACATTCAGGGGGCGAGTCTAGATGTGCACACCCTTAATGCACCTAAAAATGGTGATTTTAGGCTATTCAGGCCTAAATTTGATACCTACATAAAGCAAGTATCAAATTTATGCAAATTTAATGTGGTGTGTGTCCACTGACTTGGGACTATAGTCCCAAGTCGGTACGCACACCCACGTTAATGCACCTTAGCAAATGCATGTGTAGACACACACCTAAATTGCCTCAATGTGTATTAAGCTAATGCACATTCAGTTTAGGTGTGCATAAAAGCACATGTAGACATGTCCAGTGTGTAATTAAAGCATAGGACTCATTGCTACCATATGCAGAAGCTGACAGTTGAGCCAGATTCAAAAATGGACTGGACAAATTCTCAGAGAAAAGGGGCATCAGTAGCTCTTGAGCGCATGAGTCAGAGTTACAGCCTCTGAATAAGAACTTCCTAGATCTTAAATTCTGGAGTCTGCAAATGGGAGAGGAACAGTGGCAAAAAAATACCCAGACAGACAAGGTGCTTTGGGTAAATATGATGTCTTTTATTAGACCAAGTAAATAGTTGGAAAAATTGTTCT